TTTTTTTTTTTTTTTTGTTCTAATTAGTTGGTACTAATGATTGGTATGGTTACTTTTACTGCTATTGTTACCATTATTGTTGTTAGCAGATTCAGGATGACCATGGTTTATTGGTAACTAAAATAGACCAAAAATAAAGAGTATTTTTTTCAATATGACTTTTGATAATTATTTTGATGACAATGATTTAGTGACCGATTTTTTTTTTTTTTTTGCAACATTAGGGTTAGGCCAACTGAATGTGACGATAACTATGATGATGGCAAGTTTATTTTATAAAAGAGTGTTGGCATTTGTCAGGTTTTTTTGTCGCTCGCTTATGGAACCTTCAAATAAACAGCATTACCAAACTAACGAAACAATCATTTGTCCGTTAGGAAATACCAATATATCCGTATAGACACACACATTGACAAAAACGCACATTCATGACCAAATATTTCTCAGCAATTGTTATATATAAAGTATTTCGCACAATTTTTCTGCTTTTTTTTTTTTTTTTGTCACTTTATTCCTTCCGATGTTTTTATTCACTTCTTTTTTTTTTTTTGTCTCCTTTTGCATTCGAAACTCATAAGTTAAATTAATTTTTTTTTTTTGTTTTGCTCAACTTTTCCAGACACTTTACTGTTTTTGAAACGGTAAACAGAAGGCTGAAAAAAGGAGCAGGACAGTTTTAGTAAATTCAATATTTTCAATTTGTTTAATGTCTTTTTTGGACTATCAAATAATCATTTACGTTTAAGTTTTCAAAATTTTATTGCTTTATACAGTTTTTTGCATTTACTTATCTTCAGTTTTATACATTTTTCAGCCAACAATTTTAGTCTTATAAACTATGCATATTTGACTAGCAATGTTTCGCGTTTTTTGGAAATTTTACGTTAAATCGTTGTTTTTAAATGATCTCAGTAAAGGGTTTAACTGTGATAGACGTCTATTGTACTGTGTAAGGAAACGACAAAGCAAAAACTGAACATATACCAGTTTGGGAGAATGAATTTTTTGCAGTTTTTTGGATAAAAACTTCAATAATAATTGTGCATAGTGTTTGATTACCGTACAGTAATGTATTTGAAATACGTTTAAGTTGTCGTCTTGAAGTCTTTTGCTGGTAAAAATTTGAGACTGTAGAAGAAATAATAGTTCATTTACCTAGATTTTGGGCTCAAGAGTCTACAAAGTCAGAATTTCCTATTATCTATTGGATTATTCTGTTTGCAGTAGCAATCAACTAGTATAAAGACACTTAGCTAATCGGTCAGTAAGAAAGTGTAAACCAAATCAGTCTTTGGTTGTAAACAAAAGGTCAATAGAATTTACAGTAGGTACAATTCAGAAGCAATTTTTTAAAAATTTATTATTCAATAATCAATCTATCGTCAATAGATTGGGTACTGTTGCTAAATAAAAATATTTTTTCAATATACATAGAGAAAAAAAAAAAAAA